CTAGAGCCTACATTCAATTGTGCTATAGTCGATTGTTTCCACGGTCCTGTAAAACCTGGTTGCTACAGAAAAAATAATCCATTAAGTTGCTGTCCCGGAGAAGAAGTTTGTCGTAAGTATCTATTCTTAACTAGAACTTATAAATTTTTATATACATTATAGTTATTGTGAACTGGTTAATCATTTATCTCCGCATTTCAATTATGATTTTCTAAAAGATTCAAATAATAGTGATTAATAATAATTTAATATTAAAAATAAGCAATGTATATGCGTTTTTCAATATATTTTAATTGAAAGTTTTATTTAAAATACTAAAATAAAATGTATCTTGTGATTAAAAGTATAGACTTGTAATTTTTTATTAGTAGTTTAATATTACTATTTTAGTGTGCTTAAATTCGATCGGTTTAAAAAGTTAAACGTATATATCGAAAGATACAAGTCGTATAATATTTGAGTAAAATTGTTTATTTTACCTTTATTTGGTATTTTAGCTGAAAAACCCGAGGACAGAGTCACTTGTGTCGTAAATGGAAAAGAATATAAAGATGGAGAGTATTTCAAAGTAGAAAGTGATCCAGATTTAAGCTGTGTATGCCAATCAGGATATACAGGTAAAAATAGTTTCAAATATTTTCACGTTGTTTTGAATTTTTCAATATTATTTTGATACACAATAAATATATAAAATATGCTCCAATTAATATGCCAAAGGCACATGATATATTAATGGTGATATGATATATATATTAATGGTGATTTTTTATCAATATAAATAATTTTCCATTTTTTATGCAAAACGTGAAATTTATATAATATGTACAAATTGTTAAATTTTGGTGAAATTGGAATGTTATATATTATAATACTTTGTATTAATATGATTATATATATATAGGTATATTGTTATAACTATAATCATCAAACAAAGTAGGTAATTAGCATTTATTTATGTTGTTACGCACAATAATAATGTGCAGAATATAATAATTTTGTAATGTGTTCTTAACCTAAATCTATACATAATGTAAGTATATTCTTGATCAAACATTTTTTTATTTTAGGAGAAAACGTCGAACCGTTCTGCGCAAAGCCTAAACATCCGTATTGCAGTCCCGATTTTCGGCATGCAAACGATATTTTTAATAATTGCCCTCCTGTTTATTATTCCAATCAGACGCCGCAGACCAGCTGCAGCGTGTTTTCGAGATGTCGTAAGTTCACGAAATGCAACTTTATGTGTTGCATATATCATGTTAGCGTTATCTGAGCAATAACTATTTTATCGGATTTTTTAGAGAACAATAACGACACTGTCGTACACAAGGAGGATTCGAAATCTGTGCCTAATCCCGATGGTATGTTTTATTTACATTATTACGCAGGATTAATTTAAATGGTCTGACAAAAATACTTAATCTCTTTGATTATTTAATTAATAATTAAAATTTGTAAGTGCTGCATTAATTTTGAAAAACTGCAAAATGTATATATTATAATTTAATTCGTTAGTTGAACTGTGTGCACATTCTTCATATATTCACTTCAACACAGATTGAAGTGAATATACAGTTCAAAATATAAATGATGCACTGATACGCATTTGAACGTTCAAGCGATGCTAATTACGACTCTGCTTTGAATAGCATGAAATGAGAGTTAATTGCGAGAAATGTTTCACGCGCGTAGTGAGGAGCAACGCGCAAACCAATTTCTGTCGCAATCCTCTAAAATGATAATTAATTTGGTCATCATTACGAATCTACAAAGCATACGAAGTTATACTATAGACGTATTAGTCAACGCTGCAATAATATTTATAGATTTGACAATATTAGGAGCATAATTTTATTACATTTATTTATCCACTTAATTTTTTAATCATATTTTCTTTTAATTTACTTTATTTATCTATTCAATTTTTTTGAAGATTATTTATTTTCTCTTCTACTTTGAAATAAGTCAACTATAATTTTATGCGATAATGTAATTCGAAAGGCAGTTGTACAACTTATTCATATGTTTTTTTCAGATGTATGTAATTTCGGTAACATAATTGTGCATCGTGGCGACGAGCTGAATCAAGCCACAGATTATAGTTCCGTGTGTGTTAAGTGTGTTTGCGAAGTACCACCCGTGCTCACCTGTCAACGTCTGCCGGATAACGAATGCGATGTCACAGTCCATCCGCCGTTCCACCATTTTGATTGATTTTTTTTTAATCTGTGATGTGATTATATTTGTTATCAGACTAAAAATTGTATATCGTCTTTTAGCAAATTAATGTATAAGAACTGATATAACATTCTGATATGTAATAAAATATCCTCTTAATGTATATTGTTCGTTATTTGCAGCAAAAACATATTCTTTATCGTATATTTTAAAATATACGGAGACAAAAAAAAGAGAGATTGAATCTTTTTCTGACATTTTACACAAGTCACACTTGTTGATAATATTGAAATGTGACCATTCAAAACTCCTTGTAGAATAAAATCATAAGAAAAAACCCAACTGTATGATTCTTCAAATCTCTTATTTGCTTACTCCAATTATGCTTAATAAATTGTAATGTAACAGATGTTCGCGCACAGCAATGTTATCAATAAAAAAATGTCTGATCTTCAACCTTGTTTATTTCAAGCTTGTTAACGCGGTCAAAGAGTCTTACTTTGCAATATTTATTGATGAAAATATTTTTGTATGATGGAAACATACTTGATTACAAATATGTTAATATTTAAGTACTGATATCTTATGCTTTTTTACATGTTTATGCAATGTTATATTTGCCGGACTTATTTAGCGGATAATTTTTCGATTAAAATTAAAATATTCGCATATGGTGTGCAGCAGTGTCATAATAATCAATTTGCACGGCGAAGCCAATTTCACTTTTGGATACTGCCTGATGATTGCGCGCGCGTATAAACTAGCAACGCAGCTATTTACATATTCCGTCAAAGGTTTATTCATTTCTCATTTAAACTTCTAAGTGGTTTTACTGCTGACACT